TGTCATTGTTGTTTGGCAGGCCTGGGCCAGGTTCGAACCCACCAGCCCTGGTGTACGTGGCCAGCACCCTGGCCACTGAACTACGGGCACCGAGCCATTTCCCAGTATTATTTATAAAATCCAAGGGGTAGAAGCAACCCAACTGTCAACTGATAGATGGTGCATATATAAACTTGGAGTTTATGTGTCCATGTATGTATGTATAGACAGATACATACACATATGTATATATACATACAGACACACGTGGGATATTTTTCAGGCTTAAAAAGGAAAATAATTTTGATACATGAGGTAACACAGATGGATTTTGAAGACAGCATATGAGATAAGCCAGTCACAAAAAATAAATATTGAATTATTCCACTTATATGAAGAATCTATAGTAATCAAATTATAGACAGAAAGTAGACTGATGATTGCTAGGGGCTGGGGAATTGATTTTAATGGGTACTAGCTTCAGTTTTGCAAGATAAAAAGGATTCTGGTGATGGATGGTGGTAATGATTGCATAACAATGTAAATGTGCTTAATTCCACAGGATTATACACCTAAAAATGGTTAAGATAGGCCAGGTAGGGTGGCTCATGCCTGTAATCCTAGCCCTCTGGGAGGCTGAGGTAGAAGGAATGTTTCAAGTCAGGAATTCAACATCACTCTGAGCAGGCTCGGCACCCACAGCTCAGTGATTAGGGTGCTGGCCACATACACTGGGGCTGGAGGGTTCAAACCTGGCCCAGGCCTGCTAAACAACAATGACAACTATAACAAAACAAATAGTCGGGCATTGTGGAGGGGGCGCCTGTTGTCTTAGCTACTTGGGAGGCTAAGGGCAAGAGAATAGCTTAAGCCCGAGAGTTTGAGGTCACTGTGAGCTGAGACGTGACAGTACTCTCTAAGGAAAACATGGTGAGACTCTGTTTCAAAACAAAAAAAAGATCACCCTGAGCAATAATAAGAACCCCATCTCTATTAAAAATAGATAAAAGTAGCAGGGTGCAGTATTGCATGCCTATAGTCCCACCTACTCAGGAGGCTCACTTGAGCCCAGGGGTTTGAGATTATAGTGAGCTATGAAGATGCCACTGCACTCTAGCCAGAGCAACAGAGTCAGACTACCTCGGAAAGAAAAAAAAAAAGAAAAAACGAAATGTTAAGATGGTAAATTTTATGTGTATTTTAATACAATTAAAAATAATAAAAATTTTTTAGAAACTAAAGAGAGAATTTTAGATTTATAATGTAGACCAGCCCCAGGCACAGTGGCTTATGCCTAGGAGGCCAAGGTGGGAGGACTGCTTGAGGTCAGGAGTTCAAGACAAGCCTGAGCAAGAGCAAGATCCCATCTTTATAATAAATAGAAAAAATGGGTGTGGTGGCAAATGCTGGTAATCCCAGATACTTGGGACAGTGAGTCAGAAGGATCCCTTATACCCAGGACTTGGATACTGCAGTGAGCTATGATCATATCACTGCACTACAGTCTGGGCGACAGAGGAAAATCTTGTCTCTCTAAACGAACTAATCAGAACTCTAGTGAACTGAGTATATACAATGTAGTAATAATAATTTCATTTTGGCTTGGTCACTTGAACCCAGGAGCTTGAGATTGCCATGAACTAGGCTGATGCCACGTCACAGAGACTATCTCAAAAAAAAAAAAAAAAAAAAAGAAAGAAAAAATTCATTTTTTGGGTTTTCAGATTGGTACACTAAACATACTGTCTATGGACTAAAGTTTTATTTAACAAAACAGCCATTAAATAATTTCTTTAGTTGCTTATTTTTTTTGAGACAGGGTCTCACTCTGTCACCTAGATCATAGTGCAGTTGTATCATGACAGCTCACTGCGACCTCAAACACCTGGACTCAAGCAATCGTCTAATCCCTCTTGCCTCACCTTCCGGAGTAGCTAGGACTACAGGTATGTACCACCAAGCCTGGCTAATTTTTCCATTTTTTGTAGAAATGGGGTCTCACTCTTGCTCAGGCTACTCTCAAACTCTTGGCCTAAAGCGATCCTCCAGGCTCGGCCTCTCAAGAGTGTTAGGATTACAGGTATGAACTACCACACCCATCCTCATTAAACAAATTCTAAACCATGTTAAAAGAAGATCGTATCAAATATAATTTACTGTCAAGTATATCTTATTCTACTTTAATTTTTCAGAAATTGTTAATCCTTCCAAAATAAACAGAGAATAATATGTAAAACTAGAGTTTTAAAAATTACAAGAGGCAAGTTGGGGGATGCCAATAATGTTCTGTTTGTGACTCTAGATACTAGTTAAACAGGTCTATCAATTTGTGAAAGAAAATTTATTGAAATATGCACTTAAGATTTGCATATTTCTCTTTAGGTCTCATATACTTTCGAAAATTCCCACCCTCCCTCCATAATTGAAAACAGTCCGTCTTTCCCTAATATGCTAATAAGAATGAACATATTTATTCTAAGATAAATACTGTACAAGAAAAAAACATTTATTATATATTATTTATTATATATTTAACTTACCTCAGTAGATTGCTTTCCACTATAAGACATTTTCTTGATAGCCACCACTTCATTGGTACGCACATCTCGTGCCTATAGAAGAACAAAGACCTTTGTAAAAATTAACGGAGTAAATCCAGGCAATTATTTCTTTGAAAGTAAAAGCACATGCAAGCTACCATGTCAAAAAGGACACCAAAAGTGCTTTTAAATAGTATTTTTAAAATAATAACACTATGTAGCAGTACATATAAAATTATCCTGGCACTGGTACCTTGGAAAGAAAAATAAAGCTAGTTTACTCATGAGTAATCTTGTTGAGAGGAAATATGTAAAAATTTGAGCAGCACTATTAATAAAAATACAAAA